TCTTGTCTTAATCCCTCTACTGCTGATGCAAAAACTTTCCATATGCCTAACAAGTGGAAGCTATTGGTACTCTTACTGTCAAGAAGCTCAAAATCAGGACATGGGATTTTTGTCATCTATTCTCCCACTCACCAAACATCAACAATTACCACCTCCTCTCATGCCATCCATGACAGTCTCTCTCCTTTCTCCTGTCATTTATGACCCTTATAGTTACATATCAACTTCCCTTATCTCATAGTCACCAACATTCAAGAAAGAATTTGGTACAAGGCAGAGTTTTCCTTCCTACCCCACTTGCTGCCAACATCCTGGGTGACTTCAGTAGCCAAGAAGAATATCTGTCTAACAACTTCACCTTGGTCTCTGAATCACATCAATTCTGTGCCCTGTCAGTCAGTCAGTGTGCCCTTGGCTTTGTCATACCTTAAAATTACTAAATAAGCTTTCTCTTACTGAGTCGCTGACCTTTTTTCCTTCCAGTTTATAATTACTTTTCCAACTTTTCCCACTTTGACCATTCTTTTGACTTATGAGGGACCCCAAATAACTGTCTTCTTTATTTTAACTCCTACTATCAGCCTTCTAATTTCTTCTCTCTCTCTCTTTTTTTTAACTACTTAAATTCCATGAGCCACCATTTCAGTGATAATCTAGTCAGTATTTCAAAGTCTGTTTTATTTGTCTGATTAATAAGGATCCACTTTCAGCCTACTTATGTTCTCCGGCCTTGCACAGAGGCAAGTCATACAATATACTAACATTTTTAAAAAATGATCAGCAACCTTAACATTTGTCGGTTCAGCACATTGCCCTCTCTAAAATGACTATTTTGAAATTATGTCACTCTCTCCTAGATATGTCCTTCTATCTCCAGCTTTCCCTTTTCTCAAAACCAGTAACATCACCTCTGATTTTATGCTCAACACTCTACCACCATGTCCTTTCCCATATATATTTTTTAATCTCTCTCCACTCTTCTTATATTGGTTGAATGAATCTCTTTCTTTCAAAAGTCAATTTATAATATTGGGATCCCATCATCTCTGTCCTTTTCCAGAACCATACTCAATCATCTATACTTTTACATCTTATATATTCAACCACTCTGTCTTAAATGGATCCTTCCCCTGGAATTTGTGAATTTTTAAGTCTCATCAATGAACCCATAAGGCTTCTGTGATCTACATTCTTACTCGGTCATTAATAATGTATGTAAAAAATATACATGTAAAAAAATATGTAACATATGTAAAAAAATATTAATTGGATACTTAAGATTTGTTCATTTGCCCTAAGCTATTACACTTTGATATGAGTAAGTAAAAAGTTAAATAAGGGCCCTCCCTGGTGAAGCAGCGGGTTAAAGCACTGCACTGAGAAGCTAAAGCCACTTCCGCATGAGTTCGAATCCCGCCTGCCCCGGAGGAGACCACATGGCGTGGCAAACCTCTCCTGACCCGCCCGCTGCTCCCCTCAGCAGTGTACTTCGTTGATCTGCCTGTTCTGCTCCCCACTCTGTCTCTGGTGAAGTCTCTCACTGCCCCTGAGTCTCTGGCCTGTACCCCAGTTCTGTATGTACAAATAAATAAATCTTAAAAAAAAAAAACATTTATTAAAAAAAAAAGTTAAATAAATGAGATTCATATATCAAGTATGATCATTTCTAAGAGGGAAAACTTGGGTCTACTTAAATAATGATTATACAGTATTTTGAAAATTTATGTACAAATCACTACCTAAGTCAGAAGATAAAAAACTACCCTCCCTCTCCCCTAGCCCCAGGTCACCTTACTTTTATAAATGAAGTTTTATTGGGACACAGCCATACCCATTTGTTTATAAAGACTGCATGTTCTTTGAAACCTGAAATATTTATTATCTGGCACTTTTCATAAAAAAAGACACCAATCACAGACTAGTCAATTTACTACCCCTCATTTGGAGGGGGAGGATTCTTGATTCTTTTGTAGAATCCTGTGGAAGCTGTAAGGTATTTCCTCAAGAAGTTACACAGCTTCATAAATACAAAAGGTTACTTGTAATTTCAGGAAGTTCATCAGCCCTCTGAATAGCAGACATCAGCCCCAACATAAGACTTCTTGTTCCAGGTTTTCACCATAACGAGAACATTCTACAGATTGGCTCTGTTTCTTTTGCATAACAAATGATTGAGCTTCCATTTCACAATTTCATTTGCTCCATGGAACTACTCATGGTTTTAGCCAGTAGCAAAGTTGCCCAGATCAAAATACATGTGACTGTATCAGTGAATATATTATGTTCTCCCTCTAGGTAATAGTTGACATACTATCAGTCTTGCAAAATCTTTTGATACCGAGGTAGACCAAAAACACCAGAAGTCATGAACTCACAGTCCCTAACCTCAGTATAAAAGAAAACATAAAGCAAGATCTTGTGGACAGAGGAGTGAGTGGGTCACAGTTATATATGAAAACTATTGGCACATTTATTCAATTCCACATAGGAAAAGAATATAAAGAAAGTGCAAACATGTGGCCCAGCAATGGAGTGTTTGTGGAACTGTGAGCTCTTTTACACAGGCCATGCCTGTGCATCTGCTTAGTCCCTGTGGTGCCTTGCACATTGTAGGAACCTAATAAGCAATAAAGAAATGGATAAATTAAACCAATCTATAAAAACAAAAGTCATTACTTTATAAATGGTTTAAGCTTCCTGGGACCAACATGATAGTTTGATTTATTTTCCATTACAGAAAAAGACAATTATGAGTGGGGAGCACTCCCTGTGTTTCTGTAATTCTAATTTCATATTAATGTGCTCAACATAACGTATATCAAAGACCTGCCTGGCAGGAGGCTTGCCAACTTATTAGCACCATTTATTGTCCTGAAAGAAGGCATTCACAGAAGTCATTTGATGAGGACATGGCATGTTTTGACCAATTCCTGAATAATAAAAAAATCCTTCACATGAAATAAAAACACTCGAGTCAGCATGATCTCTGGTCTAATGTTAGTTCTACAGTTTTTCATTACTGCCTCCCTTGCTGCTGTACAAACAGTGGGTGGCATTCTACAAAAGCTGATTAATGCTGGGAATTCAAATTGCTGAAAATTGAAGGAATGTGCCCCATGCTGACAATTTGTTAATCAAAAATTGTCATTTCTACCACTGTGTATGCTTTAGCCCATCTCATTTTCTTCGGCAATACAGTGTTACATACTCTACCCTCAATGAGATTGAATGTTTTTCCCCCAACTGTAAAAAGGTTTTATGGGTTCATCAAAAGGCCAAAACCCTCTAATTCCAATGAATCAACTTCAACTTCAGGAGTGGAAAGAACATGTTTCTATCCATGTATGCTACTTTTTGTACCCAGTTGATGATCCACAGATCTGTACTGACATTGAATGTTTATAAATTAATCAAAAAGCATGTTTACTCAGTTATATTTTAAAGTATTAAACATTTTCACTAGGTGCTTTATATACATTATCTCTTAATCTTCATAACAGTTCTCCCTAATAATTTTTATGTTCCATACTTTAATAACTGCAGCTCAGAAAGTATATGACTTACTCAAATTCACAAAGCTATAAACAGGTCTAAATGATTCCCACATTCTTTCCTACTACTCTATAAATACCTGCAAAAAGAAGTAAGGATTTGAGGCATTATTTTGAGGGCAAAAAAAAAAATGGCATCATATGTCAGTGGGTAAAATGATATTCTGTAAACAAATTATAATCTATACAACTTCCTCAAAACAAATTGACCAATTACTTGGGTCATTTAGTAGAATATTTTTTACCTTGTAAAGTAGAAAGTCTAAAGGCCTCAGAAATAACCACAGTCACTAAGAAATATCTAGTCTTATTTTTTCTTTCTAAAAGCACAATATAAACTAATTCCTACGCTTCATGAGTTATAAAATAGTAAGGAAGAAATCTGATTGAAGTGAGAATATTTCAGATAAAGTCTGGAGAATAAATCAAACTCTCAATTCACCTTGGAGTTATCATTCACCATGTTTTAAACACATTCAAATAGACCTCCTCAGCTAGATGTCATTGAAAAATTTATTTAAAAATAAACAAAAGTTGAAGAAAAGGAAACAACCTCTTTCTATAGGAAATGATCAAGATAAAAGTTCTGTTTGCTCAGGAGTCATTTATGTACAGAATCCAATGCACCTTGGCCTCCTCATTGGGCAAAAGCCACCTGACTCTTTTAGAATGTCCACAAATCAAAAGGTGAGTCAAATTAAAGGAAGAAAACATGGTAACCTCTGACTCACTTCCCCCCAGATGTATAGAAGAAGCCCACAAACTGTGCATGAAGTTTCTTTCTAAATGCTTCCAGCAGTGTCAAGGAGCAGCAGTGACTGCCCTGAGATCAGACACACCCTCTGAGCCACTTTGCCTGGGGATCGTCAGACCCTTCGTGACTCTTCAGGTGCTATAAGTCAAACCTCATCAGTCTAGGTACAAGTCTGTAAATCTGGAGGCGTTCATACCTTCTGCTGCTGGTCACTCTTCTGTAATGGGTGGGGAATTTCCTTCCTACAGTTTGACAGACTGATGGGTGCTAAACATAAAGTTATTTGATGACCTTTCCAGCAGGTGGGATAAATGCTTGATAGTAACACCTTCAACTAAGATACTGGATTTTGAATCGTGATGGACAAAGTCTTTCATTATTTGTGATTAACTTTGAGGTCTGAACAAGAAAAGAGAGTGGACATGTTTCTGAGATGTTTCATTGAGCTGAACTGTTACACAGAGAACATTATACTTAAAACCAGAGGGTTCCGCTTCTCTAATTTACTGTGTGCCAATTAGCTGGTCACAATGTCTCTAAGTCTCAATTTATTCAACTGACAAATATCAGAAATGCCTACCCCAAAGGATGCTTGATGAAAACATCACATACTGAATACAAGCAAGTCACCAGAACACAGTCTGTAAGCAGGTCAGTGACACATAAATGTATGAAAATAATAAACTGATCATTACCTGTTTCCATGCTTTCTAACTAAAGCTGTAATGGCTTTGTCTGTAATCTGGCATCCATTAATGGAGAGTCCTCGAAGGCTGAAAGTTTACAAAAAGAAATATATCTCAATAATATCTTTATTTAAAAATAATTTCATACCCAAAACTTGTAGCTCATTAGTTATTCAGCTTATGAGAGGCTTAGTAAATCAGGCACAAATATATATTTACATATATATAGTTACCTATCTATCTATATCTTTATTTCCTCAATTTCTTTCCTGTTGCTTTAATTTTGTCTTTGTACATAACATATTTTCATTTCAAACTGTTTAATCAAGGCTTTGACTGTACCCAAAGAACACTGTTATATAAAGATTTAGACTGTCACTAGGTGTTATCTTTGATTGCATAGTTTCTATCATCACCACATTGTTGTTAAGTCAAGAACAGCTTCCTATGAAGATAAATTAAGGAAAACAAGCAATAATATTATCATTATTATGGTGATTCTTTATACTCACCATCAAGCTAGAAATTGACCCAAAAAAATGAAATAGGAAGTGTAACAGGATTTTGCTTTAGATTTGTTGCCAAATAATGTAGGACATTTAAGCCACAGTGCTTTTATTATGATACATTTCTTCCCATTAGATTCACTAAATCAGGAAGGCTGCAAGTATCTCACTTGACATTCACAAAACTTTATCAGCAGGATTCTTTGTGAAAACAAGGTTCAATTTTAAAAGGCTGGAACTCTACTACAACTTGGCAATTATTTTAATATAAAGTCCTATCTTAAAACTTCCTGTAAAGAAATGTTTCACATTAAAAAGCATGATTGGAAGACTCTTGATAAGCCATGTGCTGGAAAAGTGATTATGCTTATTGTGACTTTGCACAAAAAAGAAAGCTGAGGTAATCAGCTCTAGTAATGAAGACTTCCCTCCCCAGCGGCCATGCCATGGCGTGAGGGCAGCAACACCATCTCCTTACACAAGCAACTGGATAAAGAACTGCTGTCTCAGTGCAAGTGCTTCTTGGATTTTATGTGTTATATATCCATGTAGATACCCACAGTGACAGATTCCTGTTTTGCTTTCACTTTTTAGAAAGGTAGTAATGTCACTGACATCTTCAAAATGACACCAAATGTATTTCCCAGATAGTTCTTGTGGATCCTGTGTACAAAAAGTTTATTTGTGATGTCTAGGACCACACCTGATTTTACTTTGTTTACTGGAAAAGTCATAATGATTCATTGCTTTCTGCATTTGACATATTTTGCTTTCAAGGATGCTCCTAAAAGTTTTGAAATAATCCTTGTCTGCTATTGGAATACTAAGTATCAATTTCCATCAGAGGTAGGAGTCAGACGGTTAGAGAGGCAGGAAGAAAAATAAAACCACTTTGGCCATGATTCTACTCCCCAAAAAGAGGCTAGAAAAGGTCACCTATGATATCAGGATCACTGATCATAAATGTTTGGCTTTCTCTTTCCTTACAGAAATGTGGTAGGAGTAAAGTTCCTCACCCCATGGAGCATGTTGCTTTAACCAAGAAATGTAACCAGTGGCTTTACAATGTGAGTAATTGGTGCATGCTTCACTCCATTCTTTCTCTTGTGGGCCATGATCATTGCCAATGCGCCATATAGTGCTCCTCACAGTGCCTGATCTGGCCTGATTCCTGCAGCGGCATGATCAAGTGGTGGACTGGAGTCCAGATGGACTCATGAAATCAACAAGAAATGAACAAGAAAGCAACCTTGTTGCTATAAGCTACCAAGAACTGGAGGTTGTTTTTTTTACCACATCATCATCTAGCATTTCCTGACGATAAAGTACTGTGCCAACTTTCCACCACAAGAATAGATTTGAAAGTACAATTTGACAAATAATCAGAAAATTTGCAGAAACCCCTCCATCTGCTCATTGCTATGTTATTTACAAAGCCAAGTTGTGGAAGTAAATATCCATCAATGAATGAGTGGATAAAGTGATATGAAGAAAGAGAAACCTATTTGTAATAACATAGATGACCTTGAGGGCATCATGCTAAGTGGAACATACCATATGGTTGCACTGATAAGTGAAACCTAAAAAACATAAAACAAATGAACAAAAAAATCCAAACTCATAAAAGCAGATAGCAGACTGGTGGTTACCAGCGGGAGGGTGGTTAGGGGGTGGGCAAATGGGTGAATAAGGCTAGAGATGGAAATTGCTAGTTATAAAATAAATGTCATGGAGCTGTACACCCTTCTGTACATTTGATAGCACCAAATCCTAACCCCTATACCACCAGAGAGCATTTCTTCTGTACATTTGAAATCTGAAGGTTGCACTGTATGATAACAGATGACCAGACTTTTTGTGATCATGATAACGTATGTACAAATGTCAAGTCATTATGTTGTCTATCTGTACATAACACAGATTTATATGCCAATTATACCTGAGTTAAAAGAAAAAAGAGAAACACTGAAGAAATCTTTCTACAATTTAAGTGACACTTAAAGTTGAAATTTAGCTCTGTAATCCTTTCTTGGCCACTATGAATAACACCAGAGATGAAAATTTGCCAGAATGGCCTCATAGTTTCAGGCCAGAAGTGATGCAGTATCAATTCATCTTAAGACCCTCCAAGAAATCCAGAGTCTCTTGATAGTGGAAAGATAAATCAAACTCCTTAATCTATAAAGAAATCTATTAGATTCCTGACTTCATTTACACATCTAAATCTGAGCTTTCCTGAGCCCTCCCTGGTGGCACAACAAGTTAACATGCAGTATTGGGAAGTTGCCTGCAGCCACTGAAGCACTGAGTTCCATCCCTGGCCAGGAACAGCAGGTTCTACATGGAAGAATCCCAAACAGGGAAATGATGGCTCTCGTAGATAATTCCAGATAAAAACACCCTCACTGTTGCTTTCTGTTCTTCTGCAGGAAATAACTATGAGGCAGAGGGTAATAAGACTCTGAAACCCCACTGTCCAGGCTCCAGCACAAACTCCATGACCTACTAGATGTGTGAGATCAGGCAAGTTACTTACCCTCACTGTGTCTAAGTTCTCTTATCAGCAAAATGTGGAAAAGAATAACTCCACTTCATAGTGTTGTTCTAGGGATTAAAATAATGTCCAAAAAGCACTCAAAATAGTGGTTTGTGTATTACAACAAGACAAGTTAGATGTTATTTTGAAAAATACTTTTTCAATAAATGCCCGAAGTGTCAGAATCACAGAGTCATTTGGCTGCATTACCTTGAAGCCCCTTGTATGAGAGCCAGCACACCCACGTCGGTAGCCCCAGACCAACTTAGGTCGACAGCAGACAACTGGCTGCACAGGGCCCCTGCATGGAGCAGGATCTCATCTCCCATAAGTCCAGGACCACTGCAGCTGATCACATTCAGCTCCTGGGGGACAGAAACCAAATAAGCCTTCATTAGAAACACTTTAGAAGCCTTTCAGAACAGAGCATGACCAGGAGATTCAGTAACTGCCAAGAGAGCATTAGGGAGTAAGACATCACCAAGGTAGCCAACAGCTAGGGTGTAAACAGTTTTGCAAGGAAAGAAGGACACGACTAAAGCAGTGAAGACGAGACTATTTCTGATGAGGCCAGCCCATCTTCCTTTGGGCCTGTTTACTGAAACCACACCTTCTTTGGTGTCCACAAGAGTCATCGTAGGATTGCAGGAGTTCATTTAAATGTTACTAGTTGGGTAGCCCTTAGAAATGATTTTTATGAAGAGCTTTTCATTGATGGAGAAAATGCTTAAATGAAAGTGATGACTACAGAATGTTTTCTACATTTCATAATCTCCATTATTTTCTTTAAATGTTGTTTTTAAATGTTCTTTAATAAATAGGTGCTAATTTTGTAGTCTTAAAAATGTTTTTTTGTAAACACAAAAACACTGTTTCAAAAAGACATCTGCACCTTCATGTTTTTTGCTGCTTTATTTACAGTAGAAAAGACCCAAATGCCCAAAAGTAGATGACTGGATTTATCTACAATAGAAAAGATCCAAATGCCCAAAAGATGTGGTACATTTACACAATGGAATATTACTCAGCAATCAAAAAAGATAAGCACATGCCTTTTGCAGCAACATGGATGGAGCTGGAAGGGATCATGCTTAGTGAAATAAGCCAGAAAGAAAAGGAAAATACCGATGGTTTCACTCATAGCAGGAGTATAAAGAACCAGGGGAGAAAATAATAATAATAATGAACAACTATATACCAGACATTTTATGGGGGTGGAGTGGGGAATGAGATAAAAAATAGCGGGGGAATGGGGGAGGAAGTGCACTGGACTATGGTGATGGCACACAGGTGAATTGGTGGTGGGAAGCCCATGGGGATTACAATTGAGATGGAAAAAGGCACAAAATTATATAAAAATAAGCTATTATTTAAAAAATGTATTTTGCCAGCAAGTATAAACTATTAATAAATAATAGTGGAAAAATTGAGGTCAGCAAGTAGCTTTAGGGGATGAGGGCATGGGGATTGAACAAGAAAGACTCCAGAATGAGTGGGTTATACGACAAATATACATTTGTCAAAACTTGATAGGGGGCACCATTTCCATATGTGCATTTCACTATAGATAAATTTTACCTGACAAAGAAAAAATAGAAATTATTATATAATGCTGCTCATATTGAAGTGCTTAAGAGTGAAGTGTACTAGATGTATATAACTCACACTGAACCTTTTTTCTTTTAAAGATTTATTTATTTATGCATACAGAACTGGGGTGCAGAGGATTCACATGAGACAGAGTGGGGAGCAGAACAGCCGACTGACGAAGTACACTGTTGAGAGGAGCAGCAGACTGGTCAGAAGAGGTCTGACGTGCCATGTGGTCACCTCCAGGGCGGGGACTGAATTCATGCTGAAGTGGCTTTAGCTTCTCAGTGCTGTGTTTTAACTCATTGCTCCACCAGGGAGGACTTGAACCATTTTTTTTTTTTTAATGAGTTGAGAAATGGCTTAAAGATTTGGAAATATTTGTAATGTCAGTATAATATCACCTAGTTGTAAAATCAAGGAGATGAATATAGATGTTAACTATTCTATCAATGTTTAAGCATATTTAAAACTTTTCATCATAAGATGTCAGGAATATTCACCCCAGGCTGAGGTGGCATCTGGCCTGCACTCCACACTGGAGCTTTACAATGGAGCTGGAGAACTTTAGCACAGCATTGCCAATACAGACTGGAGATGCATACCTTTGGCAAACCTAATTTATGCAAACTAAGAATTCTAAAACAGGTATTTGGAGACAGGTGTTTTTTGTACTAAAATGTTATTCATTTGAAATAAACAGCTGGACAATATTATCTATTGAATATATCACTCTGAATATTTTCTGAACTGACCTCAATTCCTTGAGCACTTAAAATTTGGCCATCATTTTAGAGAAAATGACTTTCATTTTCTCAAATGGTGGCCTGTCTGACACTCAAATCCACACTTGCTTTTTGTTATCCCCTGACAAGCATAAAAAGAGAGAATTCCATTTGATGTAATAAAAGAACAGGGAAATCAATCCTTCTGGGCTAAAAAAAAAATCTGCCATCATAGACAATAGGGACTTTCTACCAATAGAAGAGTTTTGAGATGCTAAGTGAAAACTGAGTCATCTGAAGCCATAATGATCTTGCAGTAATGTCCCAGCCCAGGATTGAGCTCCTGACCCCACTCCTATTCCTTTTCAGCACTATACCTGCAGCTTTACCCTTGTTCTGAGGGACTCCCATTAGCTGCTGACTGCTCTGGTTGGCAGTCCTCAGCTTTCTAGAATTCAATCTCACTACAGTATCATGTGCAATATTACTCTAATTAAATATCACCGTTAACTTTGCTTTAATATATCATGTGCTTTTAAAAATGATAATAATAACTGGGACTGTCCCAGGACACAACAGAACCAAGTCTTGGATCCAGACCACTCACTTGTTCACAAAAGGGCTTTAGCCCTTTTTGTGCCCTGGACTCCTTTGAACAACTGGTAACACCCCTGCACCTTTGCCAGAATAATGTCGGTAAATGAGTAAGATATAGAATTGCAAAAGTAATCAAGAATAATGAACTACAGTTATCAAAATTATCTTGAAAACACCTTGAAACAAGGTAATATTTGCTTCTTTATTGATAGAGCATATTATCTGATCTAGCTACTGGTCCAGTAACAACACTAATTTTCAGGTTATAATGGGTGTAAAATACTGGCTCTATGATATTATCAATAAAAACTCATCACTAATATAAGAAGGAATTTCTAGTACCTTGACTTCAAGTCAATTAAAATTTAATAGCCACCTCTTTAAGTTCAAAGATTTTGCTCAATTTGGTAGCGTTTATTTCCAAGAGGAGAGATGCCCTATTTTTCCTGTCAGCATTTGACTCACACAAGAATGAGATACTAGATGGAAACTCGTTCATTAGTTTTGGAATGTGTTTCTCCTCCTTATGCTAGACAGCCTGAACATAAACCAGTATGGAGAGCATATGGGATGGGAAAAAAAAACTCTGTTCGTGCAGCCAAGTTTTGAGAGACAGACATATCAGCTGGCCTCCCATTTTTGAGGTGATAATCTCTGTGTTAAGAGCTAATCCAATCCCACAGCTTTCAGATATTGAAAATATATTTAATGGTGTTTCAGGAGTCACACCCTGCTGGGTGACACTGTCCTTAAGTTGGGTCTTTTGGTTAAATTACTGCCTATTCATGTAACAAAGTCCTTTCTTTTCTCAGACAATCCATTCATGATCTTTTCTTCTTTGTATGTAAAAATCTCTGCTTTTCCCCATGCAGCTGGCATTCATGCAGTGCCAGGTGCTGCTTTTCCTGTGTGCAAGCTTTATTCTCAACAATGGTATGTCTTAGTTTGAATTGCCCTAGAAGTAGACCTTGGGTAAGAATTTGAGTTTGGGGAGGAGCCTCCCTGGTGGTCTAGGAGTTAAGTCTCAGTGCTATCATCATTATGACCTGATTTTGAGCCCCCACCAGGGAGGTGACAACATAATGAGGCAGACCTCTCCTGTCTCACCTGCTGTTTCCCTAGCAGTGTATTTCAGTAGATCCAACTGTTCTCCCCACTCTGTCTCTGGTGAATCTTCTCAACCGCCACACCTCTGGCCTACATCCCAGCTCCTCTCTGCATATATAAATAGATTTAAAAAATAAAATATTCTTTAAAACCCAAATGCCCAAAAGTACATGATTGGATTTAAAAGATGTGGTTCATATACACAATGGAATATTACTCAGCACCCAAATAAATAAATTGTCTTTTGCAGCAATATGGATGGAGCCGGAAAGGATCATGCTTAGTGAAATAAGCCAGAAAGAAAAGGAAAAATACTGGATGGTTTCACTCATAGCAGGAGTATAAAGGACAAGGTGAGAAAATAATAATAATAATGAACAACTGTATACCAGAGACATTTTATGGTGGTGGAATGGGGAATAGGGTCAAAAACAGTGGGGGGAGGGAAATGCACTGGACTATGGTGATGGCACATAGGTGATTTGGTAATGGGAAACCCATGGGGACTACAACTAAGGTGGAAAAAGGCACAAAATGTTGTAAAATAAACTATTATTTTTTAAAAAAGTAAAAAAATAAAATAATTTGAATTTTGGGAAATTTAGAAAACACCAGCCATTTGCTGATATGCGAATTGATGTTTATAAATTTCACTATACCAGCAGGAACCATTCAGTTTGAAAAAGACCCAATTTACTTGGAAAAGATATTCCAACGTATTCTCGTTGCAGTAGATCACATCTGAACTTGCTCCAGACCAGATATGTAAGTGCCAAGATGGTACACCCAACTTGGTTTAACCACTAACAGAGAAGGTCAGAACATTAACACTCTCTAAACCATAAATACTACACATATAAATAAATGGGTACACCTTGGGTTATAGGAGTTAAAATAGTAACTTTTATTATAGTCGTGACAAATAATCTCTTCTTGAATTATATATCTGGACATCTCTAGAATTTGCAAAGACAGTTTTTGTTTTGTTTTTTGATCAATCCTTCTTTCTTGGAAGAAGCTCTCGTGATAATTGCTTGAAGCAATAGTCACAAATTACATTTCAACACTGAATAGTATATTCCACAGATAAAAGGTTTCTGTGCTCGAATATGTTTTTTCAAGATGGAAGTGACAATACTTCCTGCCTGTATGCTCTTTAGGAGCTTGTCACTTGTCATCAAGTTGTAGAACTGGATTTACCTTCTGTTGAAGTATTATAAGGAACATAATACAGGAAAAGCAATGCTTCATAATTTATAAGATCATCTCACAAAAATCATTGCAGCTTTCACCTCATGCATGAAATAACTTCACTGGTGCTCTGAACTACCACATAATAGGCCCAT